CGAGGCTTTCCCCCATTGTAACACATTGGGTTAAGTGACTTGCCTAAGGTCATACAGCTTGTAAGTGTTATGTGTCTGAGGCCGGGTTTGAACTCAGGTCCTCCTGAATCCAGGGCCGGTGCTCTATCCACTGTGCCACCTAGCTGCCCCGAGCTCATCTCTCTCTGCTTCCCTGCTTCTGCGCCTCAGGAATCCCTCAATTTCTTCAAAGTGTGGGTCAGGGGCTGCCTTTCTGACCTCTCCAGTTTCCCTTTGGAAATTCCTTGGTATTTACTTATTGGTATGTATAAATGAATGAATAAAAAGACATTTATTAAACCCTCCTTACTTGTTAAGTGCTTGGGTAACACAGTAGGTGACTGATGGAGACCAACTCAGATAGAAAGGATCAGCTGGAGGGGAACTGGAAAGGCCTGGTGGGCCTTGGGGAGCCGTGGCAGGGAGTAGGGTGAGATTAAGGGGCAGCTGGACATTCAGCCTGGAGGGGCAAAGGGGAGAGCCCAGTGTGATCCAGGCAGGGGGAAGGGGCAGGGCTTCCAGGAGGCCTGGTCTGCCTGGTCACCACCCTCCCGTGCTGGTCTCCAGCTACACTAGGGTATCTCCCTACCCCCCTCCTATCTTTCCAGGCTTTTTGCACTTCTGTCTCTCTCTGTCTCTGTCTCTTGTTAGTTCAGTGAAATGGGCTTCTTTGCTGTTCCTCTCTCCATCTCTCATCTCTGTACATTTTTACTGGCTGGCCCTCATGCATGGTATGCCCTCCTTCCTCTTCTCCACCTCCTGGTTTCTCTGGCCTCCAAGTCCCAGCGAAAGTCCGACCTTCTGGAGTTGTGAACTGGTCCAACCATTCTGGAGAACAATTTGAAACTATTACCAAAAGGCCCAGCAATACCACTACTAGATCTGTGTCCCAAATAGACCAAAGAAAAAGGGGAAGGATCTGTTTGTACAAAAATATTTACAGCAGCTCTTTTTGTTGGTGGCAAGGAACTGGAAATTGAGTTTGGGGAGTGGCTGACCAGGTTGTAGTGTATGATTGTGATGGAATACTATTTGGCTATGAAAAATGATGAGAGGTGTGGCTTCAGAGGAACCTGGGGAGACTTCTGTGAACTGATGCAAAGTGAAGGGAGCAGAACCAGGAGATCATTGTACACAGTATGAGCAGTATTGTGCGACGATCAGCTGTGAAGGACTTAGCTCTTCTCAGCGATACAATGATCGAAGACAATTCTGAAGGCCCCCAAATGGAACGTGATGGAAAAATGCGACCCATCTCCAGAGGCGGAACTGTTGGCCTCGGAGTGCACGTTGAAGCACTTTTTGCTTTCTTTGTTGCTTGCTAAATTCTTTTTATTTTTGCAACATGGCTAATATGGAAATATGTTTTGCATGACTTCACGTGTATAATTGATATCACATTACTTGCCTTCTCAGTGGGCAGAGAAGAGGTGGGAGGGAGGGAGAGAGTTCAGAACTCAAAATTTAAAAAAAAAAAGATCATTAAAAATAAAGAGAACAAATTTAGAAAATAAAATCCCACCTTCTCCAAGAAGCCTTGCCCCATCCCCCTTAATGTAAGTGCCTTCCCTCTGCTGGTTACTTCCATTCATGCCGTACCCCGCTCGTCTGGGCTGAACTGTTGGCTTGTCTCCCCAGATTAGCCCGTGAGCTCCCGGAGGGCAGATGCACAGGGCCTGGCACACAGTAGGTGTGCTGACTTACACTGTCTGGTTCATGGTTGTTACACGGAGATTTTTCACCCATCGCCCGGTTGATGGGCACCCCCTTCATTTCCCATTATCCACTAACACAGAGAGTGCTGCTTTGAGCATTTGGGTGTATCTTTACTTGTGTCTTTGACTTCTTGGAGTGGAGGGACCCAGGATTGGGATTAGTAGGTCAAAAGGGAGGGACTGTTTGGTCATTTCGGTTACGGGCTTCCAAATTGAAATCTAGAACGGTTTGACCAGTTCACAGCTCCACTGTCTGTGCAATAGTGGGCCTGCAGCATTGGCTATTCCCATTTTGGGGGTGTCTTTGAGAATTTGCTGGGTAGTTAGCCAGAATTTGAACCCAAAGTGGTCTTCTGACTTTGAGCCTATCTCTCTGCTGCCCAGCACCGGCATCCCCTTCATGGACGATCTCAGTCTAGACTGAATATCCCAATAGAGGGTTTGGGGGACTCTTGGTTAGGTCTTTTAAAAATGCACAGATGTGGTTTCTTGGGGCATCATCTTATTAACTGGCTTGGGCACCTAGAACCAGGAATGTGACGTTGTAAGGGGTGGGGACCCATCAGCCTGGTGTTTCTGGCAGGTTATCTTGGGACTTTTAGCTCTCTCCTCAGGTGGGCCCTCTTTGGAGGAGGCCAGGATGCATCCCTAGTAGAGAGTGCCTCTCCCCCAGCCCCTCCCAGCAGGCCCAAAGTACTTTACGTGTGAATTGAAGCTTAATTTTAAAAGCTTAATAAAATCAACTCCTTTCCCCCTCTCCCTGGTTCATTCATGCCTCTCAGAGGAAATTAAAGAGTGTCTGTAATAACCACACACAAGTGTGCAGAGCCGGGAAGGGCAGGCAGCAGTCATTCATTCAGCGGGCTGGAGTTCTGGGGGATGCTGTGCCTGGTGAGCTGAGCCAGAATTGATTCTCCCTGACTTGGTCTCCCAGGGCTCAGAAGAGGCCCTGGGGAGGTGCTGGACCTCAGCTTCTCTGGGTCTCAGAGGTCAGCCCGGCAGGAGCAGCGCTGCGGCTGGGCGGCTGGAGCAGGTGCCTGGTGAGGGAGTCTCTCCCGACTCATTTCTTCACTTACGTAATCTGGCTTAATAGGAAGGTTCTGGCTGTGGAGCCAGATGCTTGTGCTCTGCTCCCCTCGAGCCTTGCTGCTGCTGGGAAATGTTTTCAAGTACGTGAATCTGGCAGATTGCTGTTTCCAGAAAGATTTTGTAAATAAACTTTTCTTACTTTAAAAACTGTCTTCACCGGGCAGCTAGGTGGCGCAGTGGATAGAGCACTGGCCCTGAAGTCAGGAGGACCTGAGTTCAAATCCGGCCTCAGACCGAACACTTGACACTTACTAGCTGTGTGACCCTGGGCGAGTCACTTAACCCCAATTGCCTGAAAACAAAAAACAAACAAAAAAAAACTGTCTTCACCGTAACTTTCATATTTACAGAATCTTAGGTGCCTATGAGCAGCCAAGTAGCTCAGTGGATAGAGCACTGGGCCTGTAGTCAAAGTCCTGAGTTCAAACCCAGCCTCAGACACTTCTTAGCTGTGTAACCCTGGCAGTTCACTTCTGTTTGCCTCAGTCCCTCATCTGGAAAGTAAGCTGGAGGAGGAAATGGCAAACTGCTCCAGAAAACCCCACGGACAGCATCGGCGTGCTAGGGTCCAAGGGGTCACGAAGAGTCAGACGTGGCTGAACACCAGGAGCCTGTAATGCCGTGGCTCGAGACCTGGAAGGGGTCTCTGAGGCCATCCTGACCCGCGGGAGCCGGTGAAGGGATAAATGTGCTTTTGGAAGAGGCCTGAGGCCCTTTGGTGCAGCCCTCTCCTATAGATGAAAAGCCTGGAGCCCAGGGAGACCCAGGGACTTCCTCTCAGCGCGCAGCTGGGGAGCGAGCTCCTTCCTGCTTCCGGCGTCTTTCTTTGAATCCTGTGACCTCTCGTGGATGTCACCTGGGGGACTGGGAAGGCCCTGCCTGTGGCAGGCTTTGGGCCAATTTTCCTCGCCTTCCCCAGTGGGAGGCTCTGTGAGAATGAAGCTGAGAATCAGCGTCTGGGGGTAAATGGTCCTGACTGTTGGTATGTGCTAAGTTAACTTTGCCAAGGCTCTTTGGCCCATCAGCTTCCATCCTTGGAAGCAGCTGCTTGAACCCCAGATCCCAGCATCTGATGTGCCGTGTGGAGGGCTCACTAGGGAACCTCCAAATGCCCCCCCCAGCCATCAGAATCCAGGCCCCGCCCCCATCAAAAACGTGGTGCCTCTAGACAGGAACTGTGTAGGCCTGTCCTTGGTGTAGGGGTGACGGGCCCTCATCTGGTGAATTCATAGTGTGTTCTTGGGGGAACTAATTTAGTTGGGGGTGGGGGGGACAGCACTGCAGCCACTCTCTTTTCCTGGAGCCCCAGTTTCTAGGTATTTGCTGTGTGATGAGAAGGAGGAGATGGAAGGAGGGCACTTTGGGCCCAGGGATCCCAGGGACAGAGCAGGGGAGAGGGGGATTTCAGACAGGCTTGAGGTGGGGAGTTGCCTGGGAGGAGGAGGGGAAGGAGCCAGCTACGGGGGGGAGAGGGGAGGGTACCCTGGCTCCCTGGGCAGATAAGCTCAGAAGGGCTGTGTAGCATAGTTACCATAATTAATAATGAATTCCTTTAAGATGTACGAAGCAGTTCCCTTAGAGTACCTCTGAGTTAGGGTTATGTTGGGGTTATCACCCCATATTATAGATGAGAAAACTTCTCCTAGAGTTTAATGAGCTGCCTACCACAGTTGGCAAATGCCTGGTGCAAAGCCTAGTGCTCATTCTGCTAGAAGGCAGCTGTTACCAGCCTTACCATGTGCTTGCCCTGCCTCGGGCAAGTCCCTTCCTGGGCCTCAGTTTCCCCTCTGAAGCTAGGGCTTTGGACTGGGTGAGGCCCCATCCAGCTCTTAGCTCGTGGATGTTGTGTTGTTTCAGGCACTGTAAGTGGCTTTGCCTGATACCGAGTGAGTGAGTGCACCAGACCGTGTGCTCAGCACTTTACAGTCATCCCATTTGATCTGTACAGCAACCCTGGAGGGAGATGGGGAAACCAAGGCAGGCAGTGGCTCAGGGACTTGCCCAGGACCACCCAGCTGGCAAGTGCCTGAGGCTGGATTCGAGCTCAGGTCTTCCTGGTGCTCTGTCCACTGAGCCATTGTGGGTCTTTAGGAAAATGACTTCATTTTTCCCCCCACGCCTCTGTTTCTAGCCCTTGATGGCCACATTAGACACGGCTTCTGTCTGTTTTGTTCACAGAGATGCTGCAGTTTGTCAGCAGCCAAGTGGGAGAGTTCCCAGACCTCTTCTCTGATCAGCTTTGCAGCGGCGCTTTCCCAGGAGGCAGCGGGAACAATCCTGGCGCCGGCGCCAATGCCAGCGCCGGCACTGGAACCAACGCTGGCACCGGGGGCACCGTGGAAAGCCCCTCCTCGCGGCCCTACAGCCAGGCGCCGGTGGTGGCGGCAACAGCAGCCGCATCGACGGCAGGCACTGTGGCAGCGTCCTTCCCTCAGACTCCGCCTGTGCAGATTAAAGCCTCCCCGGCCCCAGTGTCCACCCCTCCTCGGCCTGCGCCCCTACTCCAGCCCCGCCTGCAGCCCCAGCCTCAGCCCCCGCTGCAGCCACAGACCGTGATGATCACCCCGACCTTCAGCACGGCCCCCCAGACCAGGATCATCCAGCAGCCCCTCCTGTACCAGAACTCGGCCACCAGCTTCCAAGGTAATTCAGGCGTGCCGGCGGCCAGCCCCTTGGGGCAGGGGCAGGCCGTCAGTCTGTCTGCATGGAAGCCCCCTGCCTTGGAAGGCCATCATTGAAATGTTACCCAACCACACAGTCCCAGACAAGTTCACAGGCCTCCGAGGGTCCCTCGTCCTTGGGGTCATGACCAAGCAGTCACAAGCCTGGGGGGCCGCTGCAGAGATGACTGCCCCTGCTGGGTCAGCCCTGTTAGAGGGCAGAGCCCATCACACCGCGTGCTACCTTGCGTGGGGAGCACAGTGCTTGGCATGCTAGGAGCACGTAATCAGTGCTTTTCCGTTCCATTTTGTTGAGGGGGACACTAAGCCCCAGGTAAGGGAGGTGACTCACCAGGGTCACACAGGGCCAGCAAGAGTCAGCCAGACCTGAGATCACCTCTTGCCTGACTCTGGGCTCCTCCTGGCTTCCACTGCACTCCATGACAAATGAATGAGCGTCCAGGGCAGGGGCGCCGAGCGTCTCCTGGTGGTGGCAGGAGGCAGGGGGAAGAGCCCAGCTTCCCAGTGAGGGCCGAGGCCCGGAGGGGCCTGGAAGGTCTGTGAGCCTGTATTGTAAAACCTTACTGCAGTCCAGGGGTGCCGCAATCGGTCCGAGCAGCCAGCCATGGGATCGCAGACTGAGGGCTGTCATTTGACAAAGGAAGAAACTGAGGTGCAGAAGGGGCGTGACTGACTGCCTCAGCGGTGGAGGCAGGATCTTGTGCCTGACACCAAATTCAGACGTCCTGCCGACGTGCCTTCCTGCCTCCTTCCGGCTGTGAAGCGGGCAAAAACACAGGCAGTGAGAACTTGTGGTTGACCTGGGGGTTTCCTCACCATCTCCCCAGGTCAGCAGCACCACTTGTTCCTTGTTCCACTCAGGAGAAGCCTTCCCTCCCTCCTTTCAGACTTTTCTCCTGACCAGTGGGGGAGCTCAGGGCCGAAGTAGGATTAGGACCAGCTCAGAAGGTCTGGTTAGAGCCTCCTGGGGTCCAAAGGGGCCCCAGGAGCTGGGTTGTTCTCCTGAAATGCTCCCTCCATCCTGGAAGCCGAGGGTTTACCTATTAGACCCAGGGGGTGAGGCTGCAGCAATAAAATTGTCTGTAGTAGCCCTCTGGAGTGCACGTGTTCCTTGTGGGGCGCTCCGGTGATGGCGGCTCACCTGTAAACAGCCACGGTTGTCTTTGTTTGGCAGGAGGCTCCATCCTCTGCTGACGGCTGCTCTCACGGCCCTCACGTTTCTCTTCTCTCTTCCCCAAGTCCTCCAGCCTCAGGTGCCGAGCCTGGTGACCTCCTCCCAGGTGCAGCCGGTCACCATCCAGCAGCAGGTGCAGACGGTGCAGGCCCAGAGGGTGCTGACCCAGGCCGCCAATGGCACCATTCAGACCCTGGCGCCAGCGACCGTGCAGACGGTGGCCGCTCCTCAGGTTCAGCAGGTTCCGGTAAGTGCTCCTTGGGGTTGTCGGGGTGGGGCTGAAGACATGTGCACGGAGCAGCATGGGGATAGGGATGGAGTTGGGGAAGCTGGGCGCAGTCATGTCAACAGGCAAGCATTTATCAGACACCTACTGTGTGCTTGGCTCTGTGGAGACAGAGACAGGCTGGTTTCTGGTCGGTCCAGTAGTGGAGTGCCCCCACCCCTTGGTAGTGCTTGGTCCTGGGCGGAAGGCCTCATCCTCCTGGTGTTTCTTCCCTGTGCAGGTCCTGGTGCAGCCTCAGATCATTAAGACGGACTCGCTCGTCTTGACCACACTGAAAACGGATGGCAGCCCGGTCATGGCGGCGGTGCAGAACCCGGCCCTCACGGCTCTCACCACGCCTATTCAGACCACGGCCCTCCAAGTCCCGGTCAGTCCCTTTCCTGGGCTTTGCCGGCCTCGTCCCTTCTCCGAGCTAACCCTCCTGTCTCTGGATCAAGGGTCCCCTGGCCTGGGAGGCCTGTGTCTCCATCTGGGGGGGGTGGGGTCGATGGGACCTCTGTGGGGAGGTGGCCATTTCCCTTTGGACGCTCCCGAGCTAAGGGGAGATGAATGGCCGTGCCTGGCTCCTTCGGGGGTGAGGATGGAAGAGGTCACCTTCGGCGCCGGGCCCCCGGGGCACGTGCCATGCTGCCGGGGCCTGGCGTCACCGTCCCTGTGTTTCAGACCCTGGTGAGTGGCGGCAGCGGGGCCATCCTCGCCACCATGCCCGTGATGGTGGGGCAGGAGAAGATGCCCATCAAGCAGGTGCCTGGGGGTGCCAAGCAGCCGGAGCCCCCCAAGGAGGGGGAGCGAAGGACCACCCACAACATCATCGAGAAGCGCTATCGGTCGTCCATCAATGACAAGATCATTGAGCTCAAGGACCTGGTCATGGGGACGGACGCCAAGGTATGGCAAGTCCTGGGCCACTACAAGCGCCATCCTTCACCCTGGCTCGCCGTGGCCGCGTAGCTCAGGGAGCCGGGCCATGCTCAGCCCTCTGGTTGGTGCTGCCAGCATGGCGGTGGTGACGCCCAGAGCTGAGCGGTCGGACGGCCTGTGTCTCTGGGTGTCGGGCTCAGATGTTTGCTGCTCCCAAGGGGCAAGCCAGCAGGCTGCTGGGTTCTGGACATCCCACTGAGGGCCCCTCATTCCCTGCCTGTGGTGTGAGCACCTGTAGGAAAGACGCAGAATTTGCTTCATATGACTTAGCTAGTCCATATCTTTGGTTCTTAAATGATGCTTTTTAGGAATCAGGAAAACTTGTGCCCTGAGAAAACAGCATGCCTATAATAGGGCAAGTCTGAGGGGACCTGGGTTCAAATCCCAGCTCTGCCTCTTGCTGCCTATGTGACCTTGGACAAGTCACTTCTCCTCCCTGGGCCTCTCACGGCGGGGGGGCTGCATGGCCTCTGAAGGCCCTTCTGATTTTGGCATTCATAGGATTGAGAATTGTAGCCACGGAATGATAAAGGTCCTCGACCCTGACCCCCCAGATGCTCCAGGGGGGCTCTGCCCTGCCCGGCTCTTCACTGCCCCTCTGTCTGTGTCCCCTCACTGCAGATGCACAAGTCCGGGGTGCTGAGGAAGGCCATCGATTACATTAAGTACCTGCAGCAGGCCAATCACAAGCTGCGACAGGAGAACATGGTGCTGAAGCTGGCCAGTCAGAAAACCAGTAAGTGAGGTCATTGTTCTGCAGAGCCTCTGGGGGACCGTGAAGGGGCTTCAGGGGGGCTCCTGAGCCTGGGAGGGGCGGGGCCTCTCTGTCTTAGTTCCCTTTGCCATTCTGCGTGTTTTATTTTATGCCTTTAAAAATGGGGCTGGGAGGAGGGGCTGCGGACTCCCCAGATGTTGACAAAGCCGGAAGGACCCGGCTCAGAGCGAGGCGGCGTCTCTCATACGCGGCGTCTCTTGGACGCGGCCAGGTGAACCTCTGGTTGGCTTGACTCGATTACGGCAGCGTTCTTCTTTCTCTTTCTCTCTCAGCAGAGGGGATGGGGAGGGAGATAAGGCGGGCCTTTGCTTGTCAAGAAACACGTGGTGCTCATTCTTACTAAAAGACCCCCCCCCCCCAGCCCCCATAGATTTATTCTGCTTGGCCCCAGAAGCCTGGCCAGGAGAGTGAGGGAAGTTGCAGAGGTTGCAGCTGAGAGATGGGGGAGCGAGTGGCCCTCAGCTGGAGTAACCGTCTCCCTGGGGTCCTCTGGTGGAGGCTGGATGACTCTGGGTCTGGGATGATGGAGAAGGCCCCTTCTGGCCCCGAGGTTCTGTGTCTCTGTTCGTGCAGTGCTTGCGAGGCAGAGGGCCCCGTGCTACTGCCTGTTGAGCCCCAGAGGTGTCTGAGCACAGTGAGGGCGGGCAGTGAAGGGAGACCAGGTGGGGCCCGCTCTGGCTCGGGGGCACGAGACGAGAGGAGCAGGCCGTGCATTACCCAGCTCTGCTTCTCCCTGCAGAACTTCTGAAGGGCATCGACCTGGGCAGCCTGGTGGACACTGATGTGGACATGAAGATGGATGACTTCAACCAGAACGTTCTGTTGATGTCCCCCCCCGCCTCTGATTCAGGGTCCCAAGCAGGCTTCTCCCCTTACTCCATTGATTCAGAGCCAGGGAGTCCTTTGTTAGATGATGCTAAGGTAAGAAGAGTCTGGTTGAAAGCGTCTGCAAACCCCAATAGGGGGCTGGGAGGGAAGAGGGGAGGGAGAGAGAAAGTAAATAATAAGGATGCTGGTGAGGTGCCCATCCAGGCTCCCATGTTCTAATGGGCGAGACACCGTGCAAACCACTATGCCTGTGCAGGACACTCAGAGTCAACAGGGAAGCGTCTGAGGGGGGAGGCGTTAGCAGCCGGGAGCACCAAGGAAGGCCCCTACAGAACGTGGGTGGACCTGGGTCTCAAAGGAAGCCAGGCAAGTTAAGGGGCAGAGGTAAGGAGGGAGGGCTCACCAGGCAGGGGGACAGCCAGGGAAAGGCATGGAGACTGGAGATGCAGAGTCATGTTCAAGCAACTCCCAGGAGACCAGCAGCATCTCCGGATTGTAAGCTTGTGGGGGCAGCACTGGGCGTAAGAAGGCTTGAAAGGCAGAGAAGAGTCAGGCTGGGAAGGGCTTCGTGTACCAGACAGACGGAGGGGTTTCAGTTTGATCCTGGTGGTAGCAGGCAGCCCCTGGAGCTGAGTGAGTAGTGAGTCACACGGGCTGACGTGTACGCTAGAGAAACGCTTGGGAAGGCTGCGGCTGCAGGGGCGCTCAGAGATGGCAGGGGCCTGGTGGCTGCAGGAGCCCTTCTAGAGGAAGTGGGGGGCCTGGACAAGGCTCATGGCCACACGACTGCCAAGAACAGGGTGTAGACAAGAGACGGGAAGGGAGAGATGAGCCTGGAGAAGTGTGCAGTGTAAGGGGACGCAGGCCTGGCTGCCAGGCCGAGCACATGTCATAGGGCAGTGCCCTCTGCAGGGCCAAGAGAGCGAGGTCTGTCTTGGCCTTTAGGATGCCCGGGGAGCCGTTGGCGACGCTTGCTGGGTTGGAGGTGAGCCTTGTGTTTAGAGTCGCAGGAGCTGATGTCCTCTGCCCTGTCCCACCTTGGCAGCTCTGCCCCGTCCCACGTTGGTGGACCTACAGGCCCATCTCTTCACCTCTGGGCCCTGCGGCCCCTTCTCTCTAAAGCGTGGGGCGTCCTTGCTGCCTCTGTCTGTGGTCCACTAAGATTAGCCACGTTGTCGGGGGAGAAGAGAGAAAAGGAGTCGTTTTCTCCAGGGCTTTGCCAGCTTTGGCTAAAGGGCTTGTCCGTAGGATTAAGTGTCCCACAGAGAAAGCAGGGGCATGCCGGCCACTGGGCAGCCAGGGGAAGCTGAAGGGGCAGAATTCTGCCCTGGTGGGCCAGCAGTGGGGATGGGCCTGCTTCAGGCCTCTAGATGGTCAGTAATAGGCCTTGCTGTTCCAGTTTGCAATCTAGTAGAAAGCATTAAAACCAAGGCCAGAGGCAAAGAAAACGGCCCTTGTTGAGGCTGGCTGAGAAGAGTGACTTAGAAGGAGGGGGGTTGTCATCAGGCTGTCTTTTGGGGGGCTTAGAGGGGCACCCCAGGGGCTCAAGCTACATCGGGATGATGGCAGCTAAGTTAGCATTTTGAGCTTCCTCAATTTCCTTTTAGAACATTTTTCAACAAAATCATTCCTTTGAGGTTGGGCACAGAAATCTGATTAAATGAAATGTAACTTGGTAAATTTGGGTTTTTTAAAAATCCTTTTGTTCTTAAAATAAGGCCTATAAGTTGCTTCAACGAGGATTCTGAGGAATAAAGGTAATTTTCGAAGGAGTTTCACGGGCTATGAGGTGTTGAAAGCCCTTCACTGAGAGCACTTGGCTCAGGAGGCCTGGGCTTCCATTTCAGCTCCCCTCTGGGTGGCTTGAGGACAGCCACATCCTACACTCCCAACTTGAGTTTTTCCAAGTCCACAATGGAGAGAAAGGCTGTTTTGTTTTAATTTGGGTCAGCCGCTGCCTCGACCTAGTACCAAAGGTACCCTGGGTCCTTGAAGGCTGCCGTGACAGGACACCAGTGTAGGTGGTGCTAGTTTGGAAAGGTTTCTAGTATCCATTTCTATGGCATGGACTGTGTGGTTGGTGTTTGATAGCCAGTGTGGCCCTTGGTGATGGAGTTCTGGCTTCTTCTTCCGACCCTAGCAGTTTGTGAGGATTATTTGTGTAGGCATAGATAAGGTGGTGGTGTACACCCATAGAGAGGGCCTGAAAGTGCGGGATGTGCAGTCTGCAGGGCCTTGATCATTCCCGAGTCAGCCCTGCTATCCTTCTAAAAAGCAGAGCTCACATTTATTTAGCACTTTCAGGGGCAGGCTCCATTCCTCCCAAAGACCATGAGGCCGTGGGCAACCTGAGAACAATTATCCCACTTTACAGGTGAGAAAATAGGTCCTGAGAAGTTCAGTGACTTGGTCAGTCAGTGTTGGAAATGGGCCTCTTGAGTCTCGAGTGAGTTTAGCGCTATCTACTGTGCTATGGAGAAACAGATTGAAACATGACTTAAATAAAGCACTAAAGTAAACCCAGAACCAGGGACTGGGAAGTGAGATGCTCAGGCTTGAGTGGTCCTGCAAAGGGATTCAGGACACAGCTGTGCCTGGCCCTGTGCTGCAAAAGACTCTTTCCCGCTTAGACTTGGGGGTATCTGTTCTCTCAGTTCTTGGTAAGTGAATGAAAGAAAGGAAAGGAAAGAAAGGAGAGAAGAAAGCAAGAAAGATGGATGGATGGATGGATGGACAGAGGTGGATGGCTATGGATGGACGGACAGAGGTGGATGGCTATGGATGGACGGACAGACGTGGATGGCTGTAAATGGATGGGTGGTAGAGATCTGAGGATGGAGATACACACGTGAATAGATAGATAGATAGAATTTAAGTGCTTACAGTGTGCTAGACGCTGATGATACAAATACAAGTAAGCGAGATAGTCCCTGCCCTCATGGAGCTGACATTCTACTGGGGTAAATGAACCCCAGTAGGGGAGCCAAAGTTAGAAAGAAGGGTCAGGATGTCCTTGGGTACCGGTGTAGGGCAGCAGGTTTGGAGTTGCTGGGGAAGTGAGCTTTTCGCTTGGCCCTGGGTGATACAGGGGTGGGAGAGGAAGGATATTTAGTGTTTGGGCAGAGCTGGGCTTGCTGGCAGCCTTCCTGACTTTCCCCTCCCCGGCGTGAGCACTTCTTGGCTCTCCCGTCCTGGTATATAAAGTGAAATGGCATTCAGAGAGGAGGTCGCCCTGGGGCCAAGCAGCCATCTGTCCATCCTGTCAGGGAGTCTCTGCCCCACAGGGTTATTTGTCATTCAAATCCGGGAGAACTCACATTTCTGGAGGCCTCAGTGGTTCACAGACAGGCTGCGTGAGGCGCTTTGGAAATCTGCGCTGTTCCCAGTGACTGCACTGAAAACATGAGATGCACACCTGGACACCAGGTGACAGCAGCTGACGTTATGGAGGCTCTAACTGGGTTTGGGACTTGACCTAGTTGTGGTTTCTTCTCGGTCCCCTCGGTCTGTGTCGAAGGTCAAAGACGAGCCCGATTCTCCTCCTGTGGCGCTGGGCATGGTGGACCGCTCCCGGATCCTGCTGTGTGCACTCACCTGTCTGTGTCTCTCCTTCAACCCTCTGACGTCGCTGCTGGAATGGGGAGGGGCCCACAGCTCTGGCCAGTCGGCACCTGGGGGCTCCGGCCGAAACATCCTTTCCTTTGATTCAGGTGGGACCCTGCCCAGAGCGGCTGCCCCTCCCCCCATGGAACCCTCTGTCCAGCCTGCTGTCTGTGGCTGAGGCTGAGGCCTGGCCTGACGACGGTCACAGAAGCAGTTCTGGCATCCAACTGTCCATCCAGCGAGACGGGTGGGTGGAGTGAAAGCCCCGGGGCAAGAAGAACGTGGAGAGCTCGCAGGGGTGGAGGGGCATGCTCCTCTTTCTCTATTTGCCATGCTGGCCTGGCAAGAGCTGGAAACCTGACCCCCTTGGACTGGGCTTTAGAGAGATGACAGTGTGTGGCGGACAGAGGATTTCCCCCCAATACTGGAGTTGTAGAGTTGGTGTTAGCTGTGAATATTTGGTTCCTTTCTCTCCCACGTTTTGTTTCATGAAGCAGCCCTGCTCATCCCCTACCCCGACCCTCCCAGAGGAGCCCACAGAAGGGGTGGGAATAGAGTGGGGAGGGTGAGCTCTGTCCTGGCTTGGATTTCTTCTTGGACAGTCTGGAGACTCCCAGTGGTGGAGTCAGAGGCCCTGGGTCTGACTTTCACCTTTGCAGCTTGGAAAATCACTGCTTTTCTCTGGGCCTCAGTTTCCTCCTCTGTCAAAGGAGGGGCAGAGTCGGTCTGGTGGCCCCTGATGAGCTTCTGCTCTTGGGCTGGGCTTTCCCTGTCCAGGTGCAGCTGGGCCTCAGTTTGCCAGTTTTTTCTTTTGTCTCTCACCCCTTTCTCCACCCTCACTCCCCAGGTGCTGGTGGCGGCTGGTTTGACTGGATGTTCCCCACCCTCCTGCTGTGGTTCTTAAACGGCACGATTGTCCTGAGCGTCTTCATTAAGCTGCTGGTGCACGGGGAGCCCGTCATCCGGATGCACTCGCGAACCTCGGTCACCTTCTGGCGTCATCGCAAGCAGGCTGACCTGGACCTGGCCAGGGTGCGTTATCCCCCTCCTTGGTTCCCAGTCATCTTGAAGGCTGTGAAGAGAAAACGCCCCTCCCTCCTTTGACAGTTGCAGGTTCACGTCTCTCCTCTGGTCTGTTCTGGGAGGGTGGCCTAGGCAAGGCCAAAGTGAGCGCTGGAGCGGGTGGTACAAGAACTTCAGGTCTGGGCCCCAGTGATGGAATTCTGTCTCTGGGACCATCGCAGACTGCCCCTTCCTGTCCCCATGACTTAGTGAGCAGAGCTCACCCGGCTCCTTCTCAGGATGGGGAAAGGAGCAGCCCAAGGTCACCGTGTGGGTGGCTGGAATGTTTTTTCAATTTTCTTGTTATAGTATGAAATATAAAAATCAACAAACTTGAACATTTCAGTATGCCCAGAACACCAGACAAGGGTTTGTGTAGAAAACTGCCCTCTGAACTGCAGCGTTTGTACGTGGGATTCCCTCTGTCCTGGGGGAGCCTCCTTCTGCTCCCTTCTGTTCATTTTTTGTGATCCACTTTTTTAGTGTCATTATGACTCCAGGGCAGAGCTGGTCTAAAAGCCAGGAAGACCTGGGGTCCACTTCTTTTGCCTCTCACTGCTCTGGTCAACTCTCTGAGACGCTTTAAGTTTCTTTTTAAAAATTTTTTTTTTCAAATAATTAATTTATTTTTAGTTTTCAACATTCATTTCCATAAGATTTTGAATTTTAAATTTTCTCTCTCTCCCGCCCCCCCTCCCAAGATGACATGGAATCTGATATCGGCTCTACTTATACATTCATATTAAGCATATTTTCACATTAGTCATGATGTATAGAAGAATGAGAGCTGTTGGGAGGAACCATGGGAAAGAAGAAATAAAACAAAACAACAAAAGAAGAGAAGAGCAAATAGTCTGCTTGGATCTGCATTCAGACTCCATAGTTCTTTCTCTGGATGTGGATAGCATTTTCCATCACGAGATGGAAATTTGGAGATGTCCTAGATCCTTGCATTACTGAGAAGGGCTAAGTCTATCAACGTTAGTCATCATACAACGTGGCTGTTACCGTGTACAATGTTCTCCTGGTTCTGCTCACTTCACTCAGCATCAGACCATTCCAGGTTTTTCTAAAGTCTGCTTTCTCATTATTTTTAATAGCACAATAATATTCCGTTACACTCATACACCACAACTTGTTCAGCCATTCGCCAATTGATGGGCATCCCCTCAATTTCCAATTCTTGGCCTCCACAAAAAGAGCTGCTCTAAATATTTTTGTACATGTGGGTCCTTTCCCCATTTGTATGATGTCTTTGGGATGCAGCCCTAGAAGTGCTATTGCTGGGTCAAAGGGTATGCACAGTTTTACCCTTTGGGCATAGTTTGAAATTGCTCTCCAGAATGGTTGGGTCAGTTCACAACTCTGAGACTCTTAAGTTTCAAAGCTGTTAACCTGCACTGGTGGAGGGGCTTACCTGGAAGTTCCCTTGTATTCCAGTGAAACCACAGGTCCAGTCCTCGTCTTTATCACTGACCCCCAACTCTTCTCCCTCCCCCCAAAAGAAAAGTCAATCCCTCCCTTGTGAGAAGTACCACCACATCAAATAAAGCCATGCAGCGGCTGTTCTGGGCCCTCCTCTCTGAGCCTCTCACTCAGGGTTGGTCACTGCCTCGATCTGAGCTCTTCCGTCTTTCCCCTATGTGTCTATGTCTCATGGTTCTCCGGGGATTTCTGCTCGCTTGCAGGGTCGTAGCTTTAGAACTGGAGACTGTGGAGGCCAGCCTCATTTTATAGATGAGGAAACAGGCCCAGACCGGGGAAGGGACCTGTCTGGGGTCAGCCAGGTGGTAAGAGTCTGAAGTCAGGTTCAGGCCCAGGTCTTCTTGATTCCGAATCCAGGTACTGTACCAAGCTGCCTCAGAGCTTGTGGCGGATGAGTCGTGGGAGCCTATACTAAGCCAGGTCCCTCCTGCTTTGGCCTTTGCAGGACTTTACATTTGTCTCGGTTGATGGTTTATCGTGTTGGTTTCAACCTGACCCTTTTCTTTCGTTCCTTCCTTCCTTCCTTCTGTGTGTGGTGGGATGCTGTCATCTGTCAGATCAACCATGAATTTGGTAACCAGTGTCTTCGTGCATGTCATTAGTAATCCAGAACCTGGGGCGGGGTGGGTAAGCCTCCAACCTTGTCCAGTAAACGTTTACTGGATACCTGCTATGCGCCTGGCATCGTCTTCAGTCGTAGGGACTCTAAGACAAAAAGCATTTCTTCCCCTGTGGCACGCTTCTAGAGACCCCCCCTTCCCGTGGTCCCTGAGCCGAGTATGATTGCCCTTTGCCCTCGGCCCTGCCTCCTCTCCTTGGCTCTCCTGAAGTTGAGATAGGCCGCCGTATAGTGTTTCCCTGATGTGCCTAGTAACCCTGTTGGCGAGGAAACAGAGGTAGCTTCCTCCTCTCCCCACTCCCGGAGAAGCTGGTCTGCAAACGGTCTTTAGTCTGATAGAGTTTTAGTAACGCTGAGCAAAACCAGGGATGACGGTATCGTCTTTTCTCCTCTCCTTCCTCAGGGGGATTTTACTGCAGCGGCCTCTAACCTGCAGACGTGCCTGTCCGTCCTGGGCCGCACGCTGCCCACCTCCCACCTGGACCTGGCCTGCAGCCTGTCCTGGAACGTGATCCGATATAGCCTGCAGAAACTGAGGCTGGTGCGCTGGCTGCTGAAGAAGATGTCGCAGCGGCGCCGCCGGGCGGCCATGGCCGCCGGTGGCTTTGAAGACGAGGCCAAGACCAGCGCTCGGGATGCTGCCTTGGCCTACCACAAGCTTCACCAGCTGCACATCACAGGTCAGGCAGAGGCCGTGGGGAGTCCTCTCCTGGGGCTTGTGTGGGCTCCGCCATCATCCTTTGTCGTGCTCCTGGTTTGGGTGGGGGAAGGCATCCCGCTCCCCGCCTGCCCGCCTGCTGCCGAGGGCTCCGGGCTCAGCCAGGTCATCTCTTGTGGCGTCGCCAGAGTTGAATGTTTGAGGTTTCCTCCCGTTTGGCTTGCTGCCTTAGCCTTTGTGGATAGAGCCAGCCCCCTGGCCCTTACTGCATTAGACCCTTCCCCCTGTCACCTTCCGCAAGACTGATGCTGCTGCCACTGAGTTTGATTTGTGTAGCGCTGGGCCTGTGCTTGTGGGGAGGCTTCAGTCCATCTGGGAGTGTTTGTTGAGAGCCTACTGCGTGCCAGGCGCTGGGCGTCTGAATACACAGGATGAAATCGTTTTCCTCTTCTCATGGGGGAGAGAGCAGATACATGTTAACATAATGTATTAGGTTGTATAGTAAATACTGTGTTAAGAATACACAGATAGACAAAGGAGTTTTGGAGGGGGATGAGGGCAAATGTCATGTGGGTGGTGGTGCGTGACGTGGGTCAGGGGAGGAGAGACTTGTGGAGGTGGGGGCGGGAGGGCATTCTGGCATGGGGAGAACAGTCCAGGCAAAGTCTGGGAGGCTGGGCATCACGTGGGAGCACGGAGGGCGGGAAGGCTGTGAGCTGGGGCCAGGCTGGGGACGGCCTTGACGCTAAGCAGAGGAGTTGATGTTGGATCCAGGAGGCAACAGGAAGCCACTGGTTGAATAAGGAGGGGAATGACTTGATCAGATCTGTACGTAAGGAAAATTCCTTTGGTAGCTGGGTGGACTGAAGTGGGGAGATTCGAGGCAGGGAGACCAGCCAGGAGGCTGCAGAGCGGTGACAAGGACTGGGACCACAGAGGGGGTGGCTAGGAGAGCCCAGAGGAGGGGTTGGGTATGAGGCGTGTCAGGAAGGTAGAAGCGGGGGGTGGGGGGGTGAGGAGTCAGGAGTGATGCCGAGGTGATGAGCAGAGGGGCCCAGCCTTGGATAGAAGAGGGGAGGGTTTGGGGGAGACATGATGGCTCTGTTTGAGACAGGTTGTTTAAAACATCTTTGGGGCGTCCGATGGGCAGATGGTGTTGTGGTGTGGAAGGTCAGGGAAGATGCTGGGGCTGGATTTCTAGATCTTGGAGTCATGCCTAGAGATGCCCGTGAATCCCGGGGGAGCTTGTCAGTGAGAGCTTGTGGAGACAGGAGAGAAGAGGACCCAGGACAGAACATGGGGGCAATACTCACGCTTAGGGGGCAGGATTTTAAAGTGTGTGTGTGTGTCTGTGTGTGTGTGTCTGTGTGCGTGCGTGTGTGCACAGGTATATATATGAACAAGTATGCAGGTTTGTATAAATGGAGCTGGGTACATACACAATCTGACAAAAAGCCTTTTCAGGTTAGGTGTGTGTGCCGGGGGCCCAGGGCCCCTGACCAGAGCCAGGCCAGCTGAGGTCCCTGCACCCCCGAAGGCTTCCCACAAAGCCCCAGTTAGGCATGCTCCTGCAGCGATCTTTCTGTAGGCTTGGCAGGGACTGACCCCAGTGGTCCAGGGCCCAGGACCCCCAGCATTTGGGGAGACGCGGCCAACACCCTCTGGTGTTTGGCTCCCGGGCCCTTCACTGGGGAATCAGGGACTGCGCCCCACCCTGGAGTTTGTTTGTTCAGATCCCTGCCTTTCCACCTGTAGAATTCCACATCTGGCCTGTATACCTGGTTGCCTCTGTCAGGCAGGAAACCTTTATTAAGCCCCTGCTGTGTGTCAGGCCCTGCCCTCGGCGCCCACGACCTTCCAGGGGTTCACAGGGACACCGGTGTAACTTGGGGTTTGAAGTGAAGTGAATTAAAGCTTGTTTTAAAGAACGATTAGCTAAGTGGAGATGTCTGTGGGTCAGGACAGGAGCCAGGGAATCCTAAAAGTTCAGAGTTGGCTGTGGGCTTCTGTGTGCATCCTGGCCTTGTGTGTATGCTGGACAGGCCCTCCGGCTGCTTGGCGAAGCCCAGGGTCATGTTTTCAGAGATGGGAGATAAATTACATGCGATTGCAAAGGAAACACAGTCACCAAAATGTTAAAAAGATCATGGACCCCGGGTTCTCACCCCTGGGCTAGGCCAGTTTACCCATGAAAACAGCCATTTTCTTTGCAGTGCAGTCAACAAGGGTTCATCTGGTCCCCACTCAAAGACTTCCTGTGAGAGGGAAACACCCCCTGTGGAGACCCCGATGACCCATCCTGCCCTGGGATTGCGAGCACTTGCTGTGTTTTTGGAGCCGCTCTAGGAACGCTGGGTTTTGTGCCTATTGGCCTTGGGTGGCCATGGGTGGGAGCCACCCCCGAGGCTGGGCTGAGCCTCCCCCGGCCCTGGAGGCCGCCCTGTGCTGCACATGTGTGGGTGGCTGGCTCTCAAGTAGATGTCCTCTTTCTGCAGGGAAGCTCCCTGCTGGCTCCGCCTGCTCCGATCTGCACATGGCCCTGTGTGCCGTGAATCTGGCCGAATGTGCCGAGGAGAAGATCCCCCCGAGTACCCAGGCCGAAATCCACCTCACGGCAGCTGTGGGGCTGAAGACCCGCTGTGGGGGCAAACTAGGCTTCTTGGCTGTGAGTACCTCAGGGCTAGGCCCCGGCCTGGTGAGCCTGCTGCGGGGGCGGGGGACGGGGGGTGGTGCCCAGGGCCCGGGGTCTTTGCCAGGCCCTGGGGGAGTTGGTGTGCCAGCTGCGCACTGCCCCCGGCACAGTCGTCGGCCCAGAGGAGCTGCTAGCGTGCGGGATCGGGCAGCTCTTTGTGGGCGATGCCAGGCCCATCTCGGGAGGCTGTGCTTGTCCAATGTACCACTTAATCTGTGGGATGGTCACCTGGTCGGCTTAGCGGCAGCTGCATGGAGCAGTGGGTGGAGCCCTGGGCCTGGAATCAGAAAGACCCGAGTTCAGATCCAGACTCAGACGCTTCCTAGCTGTGTGGCCCCAGGAAAATCATTTCACCACTGTTAGCCTCCTTTTCCTCATCTGTAGAATGGGGATAATAGTGGCACCTACCTGCCAGGGTTGTTGTGAGGTCCAGGTGAGACGGTATTTGTAAAGTGCTTAGAATGTGCTGCTGTCACCTCTTTTTCTAGTTCTGACCTCTGGGGCCAAAGCAGGCCATTCATTCAGGAGGGCCTCCATGAAGTGCCTACTGTGCGCAGCATCCTGTGGGGGAAGGGTGGGGGTAAGACACTGTCCATGCCCTAGGTGACTAAATCATGTAGCGGCCCTATGACTCCCACACCCTGGCGGCAGCTGTGACTGCCCTTGTGGGGGCTACAGAGCACCCTCCAGGCTCAGGCAAAGCAGTCCCATGAGGTGGGGTGCATGCTAAGTGTCCCAACTGGAACTTGAACCTGGGTCTCTCCTGACTTTGAGCTTGGTACTGTTCTCGATCTCAGGCTGCCTTTCTGGGAAAGGAGATGGCCTAAGCCGAGTAGCTGAGTCCCTTTGAATGTCAGCTCCCAGGTGGCTGGAGGTTCAGGGAGGGAGGCCTTCCGGCCGCCTGGGGGATCAGGGAGGGAGGCCTTCCGGCCGCTTGGGGGATCAGGGAGGGAGGCCTTCAGGCTGCCTGGGGGATCAGGGACGGAGGCCTTCAGGCCGCCTGGGGGATCAGGGACGGAGGCCTTCAGGCCACCTGGGAGTTTGCTGCTTCCCTGACCTTCCTGACTCCCCCCTCTTTCCTCGGGGCTCCTTGGGGCTGGGGGGGTCAGGGTGAGGGCAGCACAGCCTCAGCCTTGCGGGTCCAGTGTGCTTGTCCAGCCCCACGTTCACGGGTTTTGGCTTTGCCTGACCGGGCTGTCAGCCCTCCCTCCCACACATTTATTGGCAGGTTCACCCTCGGTGACCTCCGCCCCTCATCTTGTCGTGGTCCCCTCTGGGGACCCTCGTCCCACCTTCCCTTCACAGAGCTACTTCCTGAGCCGCGCCCAGAGCTTGTGTGGCCCTGAGCGGAATGCTGTTCCTGACTCCCTGCGCTGGCTCTGCCACCCCCTGGGCCAGAAGTTTTTTGTGGAGCGGAGCTGGTCGGTGAAGTCAGCCACCAAGGAGAGCCTGTACTGTGCCCCGCGGAACCCAGGTGAGAGTCTGTCTGGCCAGGATGAGAGGGGAAAGGTGGACGCCATTGGCCCTGCCGCTGGGGCCCAAGCCAGGGGCTTGGTGGCCAGAGGGCGGAGACCCATAGAACAGAAAACAAAATGAAGGAAGCAGCAATGAAGGGCCGTGGCTCAGGAGGCGTGGGAGGCCTTCTCTGTGCCACTGGCCGTTGATGAGAAAGTATGTGAACCCAGTCTGGCTCTGGACCCCTTGTCACTGGCCTTGCTCTGACCTTCCAGGCCCTGGGCAGTTGCCTTTGTCTGCCACACTGTCCTCTGTACATTAGAAACGCTCTGCTCCCTGGGTGTGAGAACATGGGCTGCCGGACGGAAGCCATGGCTTCTCCCAGGATTTCTAACGCCCCTTCAGCTCATCCTCCCTTAGGCCATGGTGCCTGTGATTCCTTCTTAAGGGCTGTGGCTACCCCCGTCCGCTCTCGGGGTCCAGGGTGGCAGACCTCCTTCAGAGGACTGAGGTGGGCCTGCAGGCTGCTGCTCCCCAGTGGCGTGTTGTGAAGCAGCCAGGCCCTGGGGGCTGCCCTCCCCTCACAAGGCTCTGCTGCCTTTCCCTTTTCCAGAGCTGGGGTTGACAGCTGCTCCCCTTGAGGCGTGGCCCATTGGGCTGTTCTCTCTGCCCCCACCGCGAGGTTGGTACCGCCATCCACCTGTCTTCTCTGCCTCTGTCCCCTTGGCGCTGTCACCACCTCCTCCACCCACCCAAGGAGGACAGCAGAGCTGGTTAGACCCAGCCCACAGTGTCTCACATGTTCAGGCTCTGTTGTAGATACTGCCTTTGAAAAGCAACGTTTCAGTGGTACACTTCTTCCTGACATCATCACCATTTCAGAGAAGAGGACAAAGAAAGAACGCTGATAAACTGTCCTTTGGGACAGTGACAGTTGACCAAAGCGTCTAATACCACGCCTCCTTCTGAGAGTGTCTACATGGTTGTGTCCCGGCACCCCCCCACCTCTTGGTGTTATTCTCTAGTCCCCACGACCTTCGTGGTTTTTTCGGTTTCTCAGAGAGAGCTGGCTTCCCTTAGCGCCGCCCTCTTAGCTCGCATAGTTCTGTTCATTGTGCGGCTTGTTGTTTGGGCCTGCTTTTGTCACTGCACGTCAGCTCCTCAGAATCTCCCTGCGTTCTCCGAATTTGTGTTGTCCAGTGACGTCTCGTCCCCTCCGCTCACTGGACTGTCCAGCCATTCCCCAGAATTTAACTTTTCCCCCGTTAACAAGCATTTATATTCTGGCACCCCCATCTCTCCACAGTAGAAAAAAAGAAACAAGCCCTTGGAACATAAGCGTGTGATTAGATAAAAACAAACTTGCGCATTGGCCGCACCCTGGAACGCGCCATCTCCGCTCCGAGCTGTCCCCAGCTGTGGCCTGCTTTCTCTCGGTCTTCTGGAATAGCCAGTGGGACTGCGTTTGTCTCTGATGTGTCTGTACAGAGGGTTCTGGTTCTGCCCCCTTGCCCCACGTCAGTGCGTAGGCATCTTCCTGGGTTTGCTGAAGCCATTCCCTCGGTCATTTCTTACAACACAGCCGTGGTCCGAGTTGTCCACGTCCCTCGATTGATGGACACGCCCTTGGTTTCCACACTGCCACTAGGAGAGCGCCATGAATACTTCTGTCCCCATGGGTCCCCTTCCGTGGCCTTTGATCTCTGTGGGGGGCAGCCTCGGGCCAAGGGCGCGTGCAGTCTGGGGGTTCCAGGGGCCCACCAGTGTCAGCACCGCCTCTCTGCCCGCCTCGTGGGGGTGGATTTCTCCCGGAGAAGGGCGGGGTTTTGTTCTGCCCTGTTGGAGGCGGTTCGTGTCCGCGCGAATCCCTGGAAAGCGTGCCTTTGAAGCAGACTAAAGGCTTGTCCGTTTCTCACCGTCGGCAGCGGACCCCATCGCACAGGTGCACCAGGCCTTCTGCAAGCACCTGCTGGAGCGAGCCGTGGATGCCCTGGTGAAGCCGCAGGCCGAGAAGGGGCGGGCCGAGCAGGACGAGGAGACCTGGTACGTGCCGGGAGTGGGAGGGCGCGGGCCTGGGCTGGGCTGTTAGGTGGTCCATCCCCGGCCTTGGGGCAGGCCCCTTTGGCGGCCGGGCACCCTGCTAAGAAGATCCAACCCGATGGAGGGGCCGGCCCCTGCTTGGGCGCAGTGCTCGCCCTCAGGGAGCTCATAGCCTCACTGGGGCAGCGACACGTGGGCACGGCCATGGTTGCTGCAGTGCCTCCGTCTCTTTCTGCATGGAGGAGGCAGCTGGGAGCTGGGCCTTAAAAGAAAAGCTCCTATGATTTCATGTGCTGCCGGTGGGCTTGCTCCCCAGGCCCAGGGACCCTTGTGTGCGGAGTTATGGAGCGGGGGAAGGGGGGCGCTGCTTGGTCAGTTTGGCTGACACGGCGGCTTCCATTTCGACAGCATTTTGAGCTTTGCAAAGCAGTGTAAGAATATTGTTTGTTATCCCACTGGATCCTGGGTAGTGTTAGTAACTCCCATTTTCCAATTGAGGAAACCGAGGTAAACAGGTGAAGTGACTTGCCCAGGGTCACACAGCTGGGGAGTATCTGAGGCCAGATTGGAACTCAGATCTTCCTGGTTCTAGGCCCGGTGCTCTATCCACTGAGCCACTTAATATATGGAGGGAGTGAAAATGAACAGTGCATATTAAGCAGCGGGGGAGCGAGAGGGTTCGGGGAAGATCCTGTGCCTCAGTTTCCTCATCTGTAAAATGAAGGGGTTGGACTTAGGGGTCTGTGAGGTCCCTGCCAGCCCTGCAGCTCTGATCCTGGCGAGGCCATGTTGTGGACGGCCTTCCGTGGCCAGCCAACCGGAGAGCTTGGGCTCGGTTGGGTAGGTGGCCCGGGGAGGTGTGCACGCAGGTGGAGCGACCGGCACTGGGCGTGGGGGGATTTCAGCCGGCAGTGGCGTGCGGGGTGACCCAGCGGGGAGCCCATTGCGCGCACAGAGCAGAGCTCTGGCCAGAGCGAGGGCCGGGTGGCCGGGGGCTTTGGGGAGGTGGGCCCAGGTCGGGGGCCCCGGCAGTCAACGCTCCTTCCTTTGGTCTCTCATCGTCAGCGAGCTGTCCAGTGCCCTGGAGTACCTGAAGCTACTGAATTCCTTTGTGGATTCTGGGGGGGTCATGGCCCCGCCTTTCACAAACAGCTCAGTGTTGAAGTCGGCACTTGGTGAGTCTCTTGGGGTTGGGGGGGTGGGGCGGGGCGGGGCGGTTTTCACCTTTCACGAGTCATTGAAGGGAGGCAGACACAGGGACACAGGGTCAGGGACAGGCTGGGCTCTTCCGACGTGCTGAGAAGGCCGTGCTCAGCTGCCATCCCCAGTGTGAAACCTGCGGAGTGAGCCGTGCCGGTGCCCCGGCTGAGGCCTCCAGGTCAGGCCGAGCCTGGCAGGGAGGGCATGTGGGACCTGGACTCCTGGGAGGGAGGCGGGTCTGAGCCTGGCATTCCGTGCCTTCAGAGGCTTCCAGCCGTTTGTCCCGTCTGTCTGCTGCCGTTCTTTGGAAGCTGGGGTCTTTAATCTTGTTTAAGGGAGCATTGGTCCCTTGGACAGTCAGTCTGGTGAGACCTCCAGGCCCCTTGTCAAGAGTCATGGTTTTGAATGTGTAAAATAAAATACCTGGGATTACCAGGCACTGATCATGCCGAAATAGTTATTGAGATATCTTCAGAAATAAGTTCATGGACTCTGTGCAAATCTGGCCACGTTCACGGACCCCTGGTTAAGAAATCCCTGTTTTGGGGGATAGACTTTGAATAGTTTAAAATAAATTAAGTATTACTAATGAAATAAATAAAACCATTTAAGTATATTTTTAAGGTGCTTAAGTCGCCTGGAGCTTAAAAGGCCTTGGAGATTTTTTGGCTCCCCGCTTTCACAGCTCTTTTGCGTGGCCACGCGCACATGCTTAAGGCCCCCTCCTCTCCTCGAGCTCCGGCCTTAGGATGAGGCATTCGGGGAACAACGAAGCGTCCTCAGGCACAAGCCCCGGCCGTTCTGTCCTTTAGGCTGATGTCCGTGCTGCGTGGGGTTCACGGAACAACCGGGGACCGTGTAGGCCACTGCGTCGGCTGCTCATGACGAGGCCCTCGCTCTCATCCGTGCGATGAGGTGACCTGGGCACGAATGTGCTGTCGTAACCGACCACCTGTCCTTGCTGTTCCTCATCCAGGCCCAGACGTCATCTGCAGGTGGTGGGCGGCCGCAGTCTGGATGGCCGTTGGCTGGCTTCAAGGGGACGATGCCACCGTGCGCTCACGGTTCACTGAAGTGGAGCGGATCCCCAAACCCCTAGAAATGGCTGAGTGCGTGTGTGGTCTGTGGCGTTGGGAGGGGGGCACGGGAGGAAGGAGATGCTCACTCAGCTGAGCTGGGGTAGGAGGAGTCGGGGCTGGCTGCCGCTGGGCGCCCAGAGGAACTGCTGGGATGTTGGGGTGCTGAGACTCTCATTTGAAAGAATAAACCCAATCCCCTAGGTGTAGCTAATGGAAGTGAAGGTGCATAATGAGAGGGACCCATCAGCTTGGCACAGCCCAGTAAGGAGAGGGCCAGGCCGCAGGGGCTCAGAAGGAGCTGAGCTCGGCCCTTCCCGGCCATTGGGACGGAGCTGAAGGGGGTGGTGGGGGGAGATCGAAGACGACCTCCTCGGCAGACACCTGAGATGCTTTGGCTCCGTGGGCAGCCCCAGCACCCTGGAAAGAACCAGCTTGGACTCTGCCGTGATTGAGCTTCCCCAGACTCTGAGTCGTCCATCTGAGATCTGGAGGGCGACCCCGAGGTCGAGGCCGGCGGGCCTCAGAGCGGCTGGGCCATAGGAAGCCACGTGATGGCACCGTGGCCCCCGGCTGTCTTGGTAGAGAGAAAGGGCCTCCATCCGACTGACCAGGCTCTGGGTGTTGCCAGCACGGTCAGAGCATCGACGCGGTGTCCAGCCAGCTCGAGCCACACCCAGCCAAGAAGGTTTCTGCCGAAAAGGAGGGCGGGCAGGCTAGGAGTAGCGCTGTGGTATTGGGTTGGGGGCTTTAAGCTGTCATAAGGAAAAGCGAGTCAAAGACTGGAGAGGATGGTGGTCGATGAGGAGCTTTGGCCAAGGAAAGGGTTTCTTGGAAGTGGAGGATGGAGTCAGGAGGGCCGGTGGCTCTTGGTCCCCAAGAGACGAGACTAGGAAGAGAGCAGCCGGCACTTGAGAAGGCGGCCCCACGGCCGAGGCACCCGTGACCCCGGGCCAGGCACGTCGTCCCTTTGAGGGGGACGCGGCATCTCATCTGTAAAGTGCTGGGCATAGACCAGGACCCGGTGAATGCTCAGGGACCCTGAGGTCCATTCCAGCTCTGAATCTATGAAGAAGGGCAGCTTTTCTGATGTGCAAAATACAGAAAAGAATGAAGTCTGCAAACCAGAAACAGCCCGGTGAACTTGACCCTGGTTCCTGGAAAGAATTTCAACTGTTTAAGGGAGATTGCTGAGCCGCTCGTCCCAGACTTGGGACGGTTTGGGAGACGCGGAGAGCTGTAGGCTGGGCCACCGCTCAGCTGATGCCCCTTGGAGTCCCTGCGTCGTCAGGCTGGGTCAACGTTGGGCTTGCCCGGCCTCCACTGGTTCAGTGACCTGCCAGCTGGGTGAGGTGGGTGGGGCTGGACAGCCGTCGAACCCAGGAGGACCGAAGGAGATTAAATGGAACAGATGGGAATGTGAAGGCTTCACAAGTACAAGATGGGGCTAGCCGGCGGGCGACGTGAGAACCGTCCGGGGATGTTCGTGGTGGTTGTGAGTTGGTGTGGGGGTCCAGCAGGCAGGAAGGCTCATGCCGTCTGAGGCTGTTCTGAGATGCTCTGAAGCCTCCAGGATGTCTGAGGTAGGGAAGGACCACGACCAGCCAGAAGCATCCTGAGGAGAGCGGCCGGCCCCAGGCTGGTGCCACGTGAGCCCTGGCTGAAGTGAAGACCTGGAAGGGATGTGGTCTCTGTCCTCAGGACGCGGTGAAGAGGACGCGGTCTTCCGCACGCCCAGGCAGCCGGGCCAGAAGGGAAGAGGGCCAGACGTTGAGGAGCGGTCTCGTTAGCCCCTGGTTGGCAGAGCGCTTGACCTAGAAACAGTCCTGATAACGCGAGCTGTTCGAGAATGGGGCAGGCAGCCCCGGGAGGTGGTGTTGCTCCTTCCTCGGAGGGCATCGGGTCGAGGTTGGACGTCCACTTGGGACAGAGGGAGGACACTGGTGTTCACACGGGGGTGACCAGATTACTGGAGGTTACAGCAGGTGACGGCGCCCCCACTGTCACTGTTAGCCTGATGGCTGAACGACCAATCTGCTGAGACACGGGCAGTGAGATCCGTGGGGCAGAGCCCCGTCCTCCAGCCGCTAGACCGGCACTTTCCCCTCAGAGCCCGCACCTGTGTTTTGGTAGAATTTCCTCCCGGTGGGGGCTGCCTCTGGAGGGAGTGAGCTCCTCGCACCGAGGTCCCGAGAGACTCTCTGTCTTAGCTGGGGGTGTCATGCCTCAGGTGGGGGTGTTTCAGCGCACCGTCTCCCCTGGCTTCATGCTCTGCGGCCTGTCTCCCGTGGGTGACTCGCAGAGATGGAGGCAGACTCCTGGGTGCACTTGGGAAGTGGGGGGCCAGTACCCACAATGCTCAGCGGAGGGCCCAGGGCGTTGGAGCTGTGCCCGTCCTCTTGGCTGGGCAGCGTTCATCAGCGGCTCCTTCGTTTTGAGTCTTTGCCGGGAGGGGCGGGGGAGGGGAAGGGAGCCCCTGAAGAGGCTGAGAGGAACCCCCCGCTCTGTTTCCTGCCCCCCTCCCAGGAGCTCCCTCGTGAAGGCTGTCCTCCACGCCTGCCGGGCCATGCACGCCTCGCTCTCGGGGAAGGCCGAGGCACAGCAGAGTTCCTTCGGACACTGCGAGAGGGCCAGCGGCCACCTCTGGGGCAGCCTCAACGTCGGCGGCACGGCCTCCGACGCAGGACTCACCCACGTAAGGCTCCGGGAGAAGCCCCGCCTCAGGCCCCACCCCCTCCCCCTGCTCCCCAGTCCCAGCAGAGGAGACCGGGGCACGTAGCCATTGGGGCAGCCGGGCACGGCCTCCTCGCCTCGCCCGGGGTGGGCAGGGCTCCCCTGCGAGCGGCTGTGGTGCATTGTGGTTGCATTGCACGTCGTGTCGGGGCCGTGCAATGTTCCCACAGTGCATCCCAGAGGCCCGCGCTGCCGCCGCCGCCGCCGCCGCCACCACCTCCTCTCCTGAGCTCTCCCAGGCCAGCCCTGGTGAGGTGGCGCTTTGGGGGAGCTGGCAGAGGCCCAGAAGGCTTAGACCTGAGCCTGCTGATGGGGCCAGGGGCCGAGCAAAGGGAAACCTTCCCAGAATGGGGGGCGTGGTCGCGTAGCAGAGTGCCCGCCTGGGTGAGGCGTGACAGCCTCCCTGTGTAGGGACGCCCCAAGAGTAGCCCGGAGCGGACCCTGCCTGGCCTCCCATTACCACCACCCCCCCCCCCCACACACACACGCCAGGGTGTGGAGGCTGCCCCATGCTGCCCCTAGGGCTGCAGAGCCTCCATCTGCTGGACCTGAACTCTTGTGCCTGGGTGCAGAACGGGGTGTCCTTGTGTGGGGAGATGTCTGTACAGAAGCTGTTGGTGAGGTGGGCGAGAAGCAGCTGGGGGCATCTATCCACGAAGGAGGAAGAGGAGGAGGCCACCTCTAGAGCCCGGGCCCTGCCGCCTCCCGCCCTCCCCAGGACAAGCCCCAATGTGGCCTCCCGACTCACTGGCCAGTCCTCAGTCTAAGCCAGCGCCAGTCTGTTTGCTGCTGGTGCTGGCGTAGACTGGTTGGTTGTCTGGTCTGACCAGGCTCCCTTGGAGAGGAGCGTGCCCAGGGCCGGGCCCCAAAGCCCTTAACCTGGTCGGCCTCTGTCCCCTCGCCCACAAGCTGCCTCCTGGGTTCTGGGCACTCTGGTCTGGGCCGGGCTGCTCACCGCTTTCCCGCCTTTTTGGCCCCCTGCAGGTGGTCCAGCTGCTGACCTGTGACCTGCTGTTGTCCCTGCGGACTGCCCTGTGGCAGAAGCAGGCGGGCTCCAGCCCCGCCCTGGGAGAGACCTGCCATGCCTCCGCCCCCGAGCTCACAGGTTTCCAGAGGGATCTGGGCAGCCTGCGCAGGCTGGCGCACAGCTTCCGGCCGGCCTATCGAAAAGTAAGGACCAGGGGCCCTCCTCCCTTCCCCCTGGGCCAAGTGGGCCTGCGTCTGGGGGTCTGGTCTGGCTGCCTTAGGAGGGAGAGGATGGCCTGGCAGATTGTTACCGCAGTAGTGATCAGAGGGTGCCCAGCACAGCATGAGCACCCTGGGGTGCAGGAGAAGAGGGAAGGGCTGTAGGGCAGTGAACCAGCCTTGGCTCTGAATCCTCACTATGCCACCTGCCAGCTGTGTGTCCAGGGCAAGCCACTTCACCTGAGAGCCTCAGTTTCCCTGTCTGTAAAACGAGTTTAATGATCTCTGTGCCGCCTGCCTCGTGTGTGTTGTGAGGAGACTGTCTGCCCTCTGAGCCTCAGTTTCCCCATCTGTAAAACCAGTTTGGTGATCTCTGTAGCCCCCTGTGAGGAAGCTTCTGCAGACTGAGCGCCAATCTGAGCCCAGGAGCCCAGGCCTTTGCTCCAGGATCATTGTCTGGTCCTTGTATGACTCGTAAATGTGAATTTTTAAGTGCCAGTGGCCCCTTTGGCCATAGCAGTAATCTCACCCAATCCATACACAGTGGGGCAGGGAGGCCCCTGGGGACCTCAGGGCTGGCTCTGGGGCAGGCTGGCCCAGTGGGCATCCCCAGCGGAGCTCCAAGGGGGTGGAGTAGGAAAGGGAGCCCGGTGATTTCATGGAGGACAGCAGGAGGTTGGCCTCGTGAATAACCATGAGCCCCTGCTTCGGCTCACCTGGGGTCCTAAGAAGGCAGCAGGAAAGAGGCCAGTACAGCCTTTCATTTGACAGAAGAGGAGATGCCGTCCCCTCCCTTACACTGAATGACCTTTGGCCTCCTCCACTTTGACGATTCTCCCACGGGTGCTGGCGTTTTTAAAGAGCTCTGTGGGAGGAGCGCAGGCCTCTTGGGGGTGGTGTAGGAGAGATGCTGGAGAGTGAACTGGAAGGCCCTGGACGTGTCCTTGCTCAGGCTCAGGTGTCCCCCCTCCCGTCCCCCAGGTGTTCCTGCATGAGGCCACCGTGCGCCTGATGGCCGGCGCCAGCCCCACCCGCACCCACCAGCTGTTGGAGCACAGCCTGAGGCGCCGCACGGCCCAGACCACCAAGCACGGTGAGACAGTCTCGGTCCTCTCAGGGCGGGAAGGGCCCACCTGGGGGGAGGAGGACAGCCCCCCGGAGGCTCTTGGCAGGGAGGGGGGTGGGTGTCAGATCCCGAGGCTGATCTGGGGTCCTTCCCTCCCTCCCTGCAGGAGAGGTGGATGCCCTGCCTGGGCAGCGAGAACGGGCCACTGCCATCCTGCTGGCCTGCCGGCACCTGCCCTTGTCCTTCCTGTCGTCCCCGGGACAGCGGGCGGTGCTGCTGGCAGAAGCTGCCCGGACCCTCGAGAAAGTCGGAGACAAACGTTCCTGCAGTGACTGCCAACAGATGATCGTCAAGCTGAGCGGGGGCACTGCCATCGCGGCCTCCTAACCCAGCCCCTGCCTCCCCTTCCTCCTCTGCTCAGACCCTCTCCTGTCCTGTCCCAGTCTATGCCACCTGAACCCCTTGCTTGCACCTTCTGAGCCAAGGGGCTTGGGGCTTGTGGGCTGCTGGTCGTTGCCACCTCTGCTGCCAGCTTTTGCCCAGCTATCCCTCCCTTGGGCTCCTCTAATCTGGGACCACCCAGGAAACTTGAAGAGATTCATCTTTCGTTGAGGAAGGAGATTCTAGTGGTCTGGTGCCCGGAGTGGGGCCTGGAGGAGAGACCAGGGGGCAGTAGGCAAGCCACAGGAGAAGGGGGGTGCAGGTGCAGGGAGGGGCCCTCCCTGCAGCCCCCAGGCCCTCCAGGCATCCCTCAGTCCATCCGTGCCAGGCCAGGGCCGCTGCGGGTGCCTGTCAAAGTACGTGTTTTGGAAACACGACGGTTTTTACTCTGGCTTTGTGTGTTTGGTTTGCTGAGCCGTTCGGGGTGTGGTAGCCCCCTCTTTCTCTCGCTCTCTGTCTCCTCTCCTGTCTGACATAGCTGTTAGTTGTTTTTCCTGTATTAGAAGCGATAGCTGTTGGGGGTGAGTGTGGTAGTGCAGAGCCCAGCTCCTGGGGAGTCGCAGAAATGGGGGTGAGGGGCAAGGGGAGGCAGTCCTCAGGGCAAACATGAAATAAAATCGTCTTTTTTTAATTTTCTAAAAAAACAAAATGGTATCCTCCTTAATCGTCTTCCTCCTTCCCTGCCTGTCTCTTTCTCCTGGGCTCTCTGTACTTGCCAGGGCCATCAGGGTCCGAGTGGCTGCTAAGGGGGGAGGGCACCTTGGAGGGTAGTGGGATGGCCCCATGGCACTGTCAGTGGAACCATCCGGATGGTGGGCCAGGGGTCTCATTCCCACTCCTTGGGGACCCTGGTCCTTATTCTGATCTTAGCCCAAATTCTTCAGTGACTGTGACTTGTCTCTGGTGTGCCCAGCTGCTCCCCTGGGCCTGTGCCCCCACCCAGGCCTCTTGGCTCTAGAATGGGCGGGAAGGAGGCTGGAGGAGTGTGCCCAGCAGGGCCCACCTCTTGGGACAAAGATGCTATTTTCTTCCCATCTCGGTCAGGGCAGCGGCCCAGGACTAGCTTTGTCCTGGTTGGGGGAGGCCAGGGTTTGTGTGCCGTCAGATGGAGCATCACAGACATGTCCAACGGGCACTAGCGCCTGGCCATCTTCACCCACAATCACAGGGTTACTGGATCGCCAGGAACCCTTGGGTAGAAGGCCCTTCTGGGGTAGGTTTGTCCCTATCATGCTGGAAGGCCTGGCCATCCTGCGGCTTGGGAGACCTTGTCTCCTGGTTGCTGGCAGTGACCAAATGCCCTTGAGAACCACAAACCTGTCGCTTTGGTTTCACCGTGGACCAGACACCTTCCTTGGAGCCTTGGTCACCTGGGGGGTCAGTCGGTAGCCACTTCCTAGAGGGCATTTGGTGTCCAGCAGCCTCAGGCTTAAGGGAGGGAAGGAGGTCTGGGAAATAGTGCCCAACCCCACCTCCTGGGAGTGTCCAGAGGCAGGATTGGGGCTCAGGGAAGACTGGGTTGAGCCAGCCCCTTAAGGGAAGGTGGTGGGATCTAGCCCTTCCAGCGTGGAGGGGACAGTCCCGTGTGGGACCCTCGGCCGTCACTGCCTTCAATACTTTGGCGGAGGGTCCAAGCAGAGCCTGCTGGCTACTCAGGAGGCATGATAGAGGAAATGGAACCTTGTCCTGGCCAAGGGGCCACCCAGGCCACCTGATGTCCTTGCTGATTTCTCTTTCTCCCATGTCAGGCGTCTCCCCAGCCCGCTGACCACGTGGAGGGGCTGTGGACCTGTTTTGTATTTTGTGTTATTTATGGGTTCAGCGCCAGTCCCGTTTGTTTTATTGTGTGTACATATGTGCCTTGTTTGGGGTGAGGGGTGGGGGCAGGCTTGTGTGTTGGAACTGGGGGGCTGTTTAGCCCCCCCAAGGAAGGCTGGGGGCTCAGCTCCCTGGAGAGACCTTTTTTATGTTTAATCATGCACCTTGTCTGGGATGGTCAATAAACACAGCTTGGTCTCACCGGCTGCTCCGTGTGGGGGTGTCTCTGTGTGCGTGTACTGTGCCCTCTCTACCCCGGCCGAGGCCTGGTTTCCCTGAGATCCGTAGATTTGGGCCCAGGAGGCCTCGCGATTGCCTTGTCTAGCCTCTCATTCCAGGATGTTAAGTGATTCCCGAGGCCACACAGCAGGCGTCCCAGCCACTGGCCTGGGGCCCATGACTGGGTCCCAGCAGGGGCCCTAAGTTCTCTTTGTGTCTGACCCAAGCCTTTCCTGCTGCGGTTTGAACCTGTTTCCTCTTTGTTTTGTGTTCTCTGAGATGCGGAGATAGTTGGCCCTCAGCCTGGAGGCCCCAGCCCAGGAAAGTTCTCGCCCTTTGGCCTTTTCTGTGCTGCGGCTCCCCGGCCTGAGAGGCCAGGCAAGGGCTCTGAAGACAGGAGTGAATTGGGTTGAGTACCTGGAGACAGAATGGTGTATGTAGGGGTATAGGCAGGCACTACCGGGATCCCTCTCTCAAAGTCAGGTGACTAGCTCAGCTCCAAAGAAAACCTGTATCCTGGACCTAATTTTGCCAGGGGGTCCTAGATAGAGAGCTTGAAGGGACTGTTGAGCCCAGGGGCCCAGCCTCCTCATTTCACAGAAGAGGAAACAGGAAACTGGATTTGAACTCAAGTCCTCCTGACTCCCGAACCAGGAGTGAAGCAGCGACTGTGGGAATATTACACGATTCAAGTTAGCTAGCTAGTGTTAGTTGCAAGTTAAGTCACTATACTAGGTCTATTAAGTGACACAGAAATATTTTTTATTATTATTTATTTATTTTTATTAATTTATTTTTTGTTTTCAACATCATTTCCATAAGCTTTTGAGTTTTAAGTTTTCAGCCCGGCCCCAGACGGTCTGCAATCTGATGGAGGCTCTACATATCCATTCCTATTAAACATTTTCACATTTTTTAATGGAAATGTCATGTTTTAAGGAAGAATTAGAACCAATAGGAGGAACCACCAGAGAGAGGAAACAAAACAGAAGGAAAAAAAGCAAATAGTCTGCTTCGATCTGCATTCAGACTGCATAGTTCTTTCTCTAGATGTGGTTAGCATTATCCATCATGAGTCTTTTAGAAACAAAATTTTTAAAAATCCGCCTTCAAACTTACATTCTACTGGGAAGTACGGGGAAAGAAGTTTCCCACAGGCCTGAAGGAGGCCAAGGATTATTTTTTTTTTTAAGGCAGTTGGGGTTAAGTGACTTGCCCAGGGTCACACAACTAGCAAGTGTCACACGGTTGGTCCGAGATCGGATTTGAACTCGGGTCCTCCTGACTTCAAGGCCGGTGCTCTATCCACTGCGCTACCTAGCTGCCCTTGGGAAGCCAAGGATTCTAAGGCAGCAGGGAGGGTACTCCTTCCACGGAGGGGGGTACAACAGTCTGGGCAGAGGCCTGGAGGCCAGAGATGTTGCAGAGAGCAGGCCTACTGACGTGGTACTAAATATGAAATGCATCTGGGAGGATGGACTGAACCAGAAGATTGTGGAGGCCTTTGAACACCGGCCTGAGGAGTTGGATTTTTCCCCGGGGGGCGCTTGTTAGGAGCCACTGAAGATTCACGAGCAGGGTAGTGACACCATCAGCCCTGAGTCTTGAGAGGGAAGCGACCAGGCATGCTCGAGTTTGTAACAAATGCTGAATGTAAGATCTTCCTAGGGCAGGGACCGTCTTCATCCTTTGTACTGCCAGGTGCTTGGCGCTGCACGTGCTAAGTAGGAGCTTTAATAAACGCTCACCATTGTGGATGCGAAAGGGAGATGGATGGGTGGATATAGCGTCCACCCTAGGCTCCTGGAGGGCCAAGTTCCAAAGAGGTCAGAGAGTGGCCTGGGTGGTGATGCAAATGATTCAGATAAGGAAAAAAGAGTGTGGGGAGGGGGAGGATTCTAAAGAAGCCGGTGTCTTTGGCTGCTCCAGGGCTCTGACCTCAAGTCCTGAAAGGCTGTGCAGAGGAGGTGGAAACCCAGCAGGGCCCTGTGAGAGGCCCTCCCAAGCCCTCTTGACCAGCTAGTGTCTGCCCCAAGGACTTCTGGTTAAGAATTTTTTTTTTTAAAGCATCACTGGAAGGATTTTCCTATTTAACCTGGGAAAGGGAAGAGATGGAGGAGATATATGTTGTTGATTTTTAACATTTGAAGGGTTGGCGAGTAGGTGAGATGGTCATCTAGATACTTCTTTCTGCCGTCCCCCCAAAAACCGCGCAGTACTGGGAATAGCAGGTGGATGTTTCAAAGGCCAAAATAAAGATCACCTTTCTGAAGATTGAAACCGTCCAGGGGCAGCTAGGTGGCGCAGTGGATAGAGCGCTGGCCCTGAAGTCAGGAGGACCTGAGTTCAAATCCGGCCTCAGACCAAACACTTGACACTTATTAGCTGTGTGACCTTGGGCAAGTCACTGAACCCCAATTGCCTTAAAAAAAAAAAGAAAGAAAGACACTGTTCAGTACTACAATGGGTCATTTCAGTGGGTAGCTGAGCCACAGGACAGGGTCAGGTCAAAGCTAGATGACCGCTTGTAGGACATCAGTCAATCATTTATTATTAAGGGCCTACTGTGTACGGGGGAGATGGTCTAAAAGTCCCAATTTCTCGCCCTAAGTTGGAGTCCTGTATTTCTGACCGCCTGTTGGACAGCCCCCAAAGCTGGAAAGAGTGGCCCGGGGCTGGTGGGAGGGAGCAGAGGCGTGTCTTTGTCCAAGGGTCTGGAAGGCTCCCTTCTAATTCAGAGATTCTGTAAATTCACCAGCTGCTCCCTGCCCCCCACCCAACTTTCCTGGCCTCTTTTCCAGCTTCCACCTTTCTGTTAACGGAGCCGGCAGGCTCACTCAGGCCCAAGCCACCTGAATCCTGCATAGGATCATAGATTTTGGAGGAAGTCTGATCCAACCCCCTCATTTTACACATAAGAACATCGAGTCCCAGAGAGGGTGAGAGGTTTTTCCACCGTCACCCAGGTGGTGGAGTTGGTATTTGAACCTGCGTCCCCTGACTCCAAATGCAGCATTTTCTCCACATGTTAGAGGGCAAGGACTGTGTTTTGCCTCTTTTTGTATCCCCAGAGTTTAGCCCAGAGCCTGGCATGTAGTAGGCACTTAATTAGTGCCGTCTTCCATCTTCCTCCCCAAGCACGCATTGGATTTCGGTGACCCAGAGCGGTGGGCGTCGTGAGCCGCACTCTGTCTTCCAGGGCGGTGACAGCAGCCTTCTCATTGCCTCCCCGCTTCCAGCCTCCCCTCTCCAGCACAGCACATGGTTGCCAGAATCATCTTTCTAAATCGCAAGCTGATGCATGTCAGTCCAGAAACCTCCCGTGACTTCCTCTTGCCTCCAGGATAAAATGTGCATTTCTTTTGTAACGTTACTTCTCTTTATGCCCGTCTTCCAGCTATTAGCTGTTAGACCATTAGCTGTTCCCTGGCGTTGATCTGGCCCTTCTCACCTCCTCACATGGCCCCCGTGACTTCCATCCCTAGAATGGGGAGGGGGGCCCTCTTTCCTCACCTTTGCCTGTTGAAACCAGGCAGAATTGGAAGGGCCTTGCAGAGACCACCTGCTCCAGCTTGCTCAAGGGCACACAGATAGTAGGTGTCGGAGGTGGGATTCGAACCCAGGCCCTCCAGTGCCAAGTCATCCTTCCTTGGTTGTCATACCAGCTCAGGGACTACTTCTGTCCCACTCGTCTGTATGGTGTGTTAGGCAGGTCTATATTAGTGAGCAGCTAGGGGTCTCCAGAGTGCACAGGGTGCTGGCCTGGTGTCTGGAAGACTCATCTTCCTGAGTTCAAATCTAGCCCCCAGACACTTCCTAGCTGTGTGACCCTGGGCAAGTCACTTCACCCCACCTGCCTCAGTTTCCTTATCTGTGAAATGAGCTGGAGAAGGAAATGGCAAACCACTGCAGTGTCTCTGCCAAGAAAACCCCAAATGGGCTCACAGAGAGTCAGACATGACTGAAAAACAACTGACCTCTCTAAGGCCCTACTAGACTGCAAGCTTCAGGAGGGCTGGGAGCCTGTTTTCTGTAAACATTGTACCTCTCCCCAAAGCCTGAAATGGAGGTGCTTGATAAGAATTGGCTGAATGGAACAGGCAGGTGTCATGATTTGAGAGGAGTTTGGACTGGCTGATCTCTGAGCTGTCTTCCACGGCTTAAGGTTCCATGGATTGGTGTGGCGCAATGGAGGAGCTCTGGTACTCGCTCATCTGTGTGACCCCCAGGAAGTCATTATGCCTTCTTGGGCCTCAGTTTCCTCATTTGGAAAATGACCCGAAGTCTTATTTTGCAGAGAAGAAAGGTGAGGTTTGGAGAGGTCACGGAGCTGACCTCCCATTGCCCTCCCAAGGTGGTCTCTCATGCCCACACAGTCTTGCCTGGGTCTTGGGCTCCATCATGCCCAAAGGCGTCTCGACTGGAAGGGGTGAGGCGTGACCGGCTGGGTAGCCACTCCCTCCATTCTCCGAAATCTACAGCCACCTTGGCCCAGGCTCTTCCCAGACGGGACATCCCTTGAGGGAGGGGTGCTTGTTGGTGGGGAGGGCAGGGTCCTGCAGGGAGCCCGTGAGTAATAAGTGTTGTCCTATTGACTCACGAAGCCTACCTGAACTGACGTCCCGGCGCTGGCCTCACTCTGGTGTATTGATATCAGTAGCCACCAGGGGGCAGCAGATCCCCAAGTATCCAGAGACACATTAAAGTCCCTATCCAGTGCCTGAACCTTCTGGCCAATGTTTAAGAACCCAGCCCACCTTGAGGGCCTGTGGTCACCCAGGAGTTATTTCTGTGCTTTCATTAAGTCACAGAATGCCAGGACGAGGAGATTCCTTAGAACTCAGACAGTCAGAGCTGGAAGGGGCCTTAGAACAGAGGATGTTAGAGCTGGGAGGTGGCCTTAGAACAGGGGATGTCAGGGCTGGGAGGGACCTTAGAACAGGGAAGGTCAGGGCTGGGAGGGAGCTTAGAACAGAAAATGTGAAGGCTAGGGGGGAGCTTAGAACAGGGAAGGTCAGGGCTGGGAGGGAGCTTAGA